CCTGTTTGTTCTTGCCCAAGGACCTCCATACACGCTGTTCCCTCCATCTGCATGGCCTCCTCCCGAGACAGCCTCCATAACAGGAAGCGTACCTGGTAAGATGATTTGCCCCAAGTCCTGTTTGAACAGGTGGAGTGAATCATGTCAAAGAATGTCTGTGTCACGGGATATAGAATGTTCTTGACCAATTCTTGTGCTGTTGCTGTGCACATGCTACTTTTGGTTGGTATGGGAGGGAGAATAACAACATCCCAAAGAACTCCATATCCTAATCTCAGGAATTCAAAATATGTGACCTTACATGATAAATAAAACTTAACATTGTAGATACAATTTAAGCTACTAACCAGCTGACCTTGAGATGAACAGACAATCCTGGATCACTGAGGCCAACCAAGTGTAATATCAGGGTCCTCCTAAGAGGAAAAGGAAGGCAGAAGAGACCCTGGAATTGCCGATGACACAAGCTGGGTCAGGGGGCCGTGAACAGTGGCTTCTAGAAGCTAGAAAAGGCATGGACCAGATTCTCACCTAGAACTTCGAGAAGGTGCACTGCCTTCGCTACATCTCGATTTTAACCTAGTGAAATGTGTCAGACCTCTGACCTCTAAAACTTTAACATAGTTAATCAGTGGTAATTTGTTTAGCAATAGGAAACCAATATGCTCGGGATGCTTCTCTTTCCACAGGGAATAGCTCCTGGCAACAGTAGAAGCTGCTCTTGCCCCTGCAGTCTGAAACATCATTTCTACCCAAAGGTCCACAGGAGGAAACCAGTGTAATGGAAATCACAGGCAGGCAACATAGGCCAGGGAACGTGTGCTCCTCTGCTCACTGCTCGTGTGGAAGGAAATGAGTGTTTCATCCATAGGAAGTCATGCAGATGTCCCTTTATGCTAATGTGCTTGTTCTTCCTTTTGACTGGCATTTCTCTCATAGTCTTGAAAGGGCTCTGCCAGCAAAACGCTTAACCTTTACATTCACTAGCAGATAACTAAGACTATGCCAGTGTGGAACCAGGTCTCTTTAGCAAACTGATTATGAATCTTTGTACTTAGCAATGTTTACAGTGAACAAAATCCTCCTGGTACTGGTTCTCTGGAGTGCTGTCTTGGTCAGTTCCATCAAAGAGGCAGAGCCTCGTGATTCTGCAGATCGGGACTTCCCTCCTCTCCCACAATCCTTATCAGTTGATGAAATTTACAGAGTCAGTCTAAGTTGCCTGGCTTGGGTTCCAATCCCGATCTGAGCACCAGGGCTCGGACCATGTAGGGCAGCATAAAGCCCTCAGTTCACTTACGTTCATGGTGCTGATCTCATTGGCTTCAACGTTACTTCAGAGAAATCTGCCCCACTCATCTACTTAGAATAAATCAGGGTTCTTGATTTATATTGCAGAAACTTTTTCCATGCACACTTTTCTTTTACCCATTCCACAAATCCACAGTTATATAATTACCCCTTTGTTCAGCACTGGTCACACAATGGTGGGCAGATGTCATGAAATTCCCTCCCTCATGGAGTTTCTATTTTAGTGCAGAAGAGAAATATAATTCAACTAAATAAATATGCACATTAATGTCTACTGAAATCACAGTTAAGATAACAGCAACAACAGAAAATCCTCTAGGCAATCAGAAAAGAAAGAAAGAATGTTGACATGTAGCAAAAATAAAAGGGAAGAAAGGAACAGGTATCATAGGACTGGGTTAAGGGTGGAGCTGCTCTATTTGGGATGACTAGGAAGAGGGTGAGTATGTAATTTGAGCATAAGAACTCCACAAGTCTTTCTGTCTTTTTATCATTAAGACAGCAACGAGCATGAAATACTGACAGAAATAAAAAGCGAGAAGGTCAGCTCTCTAAGAACACATTTTCAGGACTTCAAATCCAAGTGTCTTCTCTTTCCAGACAAGACACATAAGCTTAGAGAACTAAGCTCCCAGGGCTGTGGGGTCACCATCTGTAGGCTGATGGTATGTTCTGTCTGATGGGTTTGTTGAGAATTTGAAAGCAAGAATAGTTGTAAACAGTGGCTGGCAGATGCAGAAGCCTTCAATATGACATTTTTGGATTTGGAAGCAGCCATGGCACCCAGTGCCCAGAACTTGGCTCTTCATGCCATTCGACAAAGAAGGGAACCAGAACTCCTTTGGAAAGTGGCTGACTCGAGCACTGGAGCAGGAAATATATGAGATCAGCCTGGAGAGCTCCGTAGTAGCAGAAAGGAAGCATTAAGAGCAAACAAACAAAAACAAGAACACATATCTACACAATGATGGTGCTATGGCAAGGGGCATAGGAACCAACTGAAAGAATACCCAGTGGTCAAAACGGAAACAATCTGAGTGCTTAAATAAATAAGACAGTATTGGACTATAACCAAAGTATTAGTAATACTCATGAGTTCATACTGACATAAAAGTGAATGAAAGGGACCTCCTGGTGGCACAGGGGTTAATGTCTCAGGACTATCAAGCTATCACCAGCCACTGCAGCAGGAGTTCAACCCTGGCAAGGTAGCTGACCCATGTGGCGCAGCAGACCTCTCCTGTCTGTGCTGCTGCTCCCCTCAGCAGCGGATTCCAGTGGATCTACCTGTTCTGCTCCCCACTCTGTCTCTTGTGGATCCTCTTACCCCCTACATTTCTGGCCTGTACCCCAGAAATGTATACATAATAAATAAAAGTAAATCTAAAAAATATACACATGAAAAGATTAATACATAGGGAAAACCATATTCCAAGCAAAAGAATTCCAAGTAATTTATAGAGATACTCTACCTCAAGGAGGCTTACTCGATAAGTGTGGGCTACGCAAAGTGACTTTCAAAAAATAGAGAATGGAAAGGGGGGGAGTGGAACTTATGGAAAAACATAACCTCAGCTAGGTGATGAAAACCAACATCAGTGTGCACTGAGGAATAAGTCAACGTTTATAATGCATACTCTTGCCAAGATGTACAAAACGTGGTAGTTTAACTTTGTGGCTTTCCTCCCAAACCTCCAAGAAAGTCTGATCATGAGAGAAGCACAGAGAAACAGCAGTTGAGGGCCATTCCACAAAGCGCTAGTGAGACATGACTATTACACACATAATATATTAAACCAGATCTTGGCACCAAAAGGGAGATTTAGGTGAGAATAAAGTACATGCAAGTAAGATATAATAGATGATAATACTGTGTAGGTATTGGCTTTATACTTTAGTAGATAATACTTTAGTAGATGATAAGACTGTATCGATATTGGCTCATTAATTGAGACTAATGTAATGTACTTTGCTAACCTGGACCATATACTGTAACCTATTAATAACAGGGGCAAGTGGCGTCTCTAAGAACTCTATACTCTCTATCATTTTTCTTTAAATCTACCTGTTCTGGAATTTTAAAGTTTATTTAAAATATTCTTGCAACACTCTACCTAGGAATATTAGGAACAATAAGGAACAGGTCCACCACTTCCAAACTAATCCCTACAGGAGCCCTGGTGATAAGAACCAAAAAGTTAGATTTATACTGGAATCTAACATTAGATTGTTGCATTTACCATGCCCATTGACTGAGGCCTTTGTTTGACTTTTATTTGTTTCTTGACCACAATTTCAAACTTAGGGTATTGTTCTATTTTGATCACTGAATAGAAATAGCGGAGTAAGAACATTTTCTCTGTTTTTAATTAGTGACAATTTTACACAAAAGCACAGTCTTTTGTATTTGAAATTTCGGATTATCAACAGAAGACTTAACTTTCTCAGTAGTTTGTTCCAAGTGCTCCAGACGGTTTCTTTGTTGGCTTTTACAATTGGTGCAGTTATCTCTCTGTGTTCAACAGGATACCAATTTGATGATTTGAAGCTGTATAATGGCATTATTGTGAGAACTAGTCTTCCTGGTCTGGGTTTCTATAATATAGGTCAGCACATGTCCCTTGCCTGAGACATCTTGCACCTTCTCCCCCACTAAGGGATAAAACTGACATCACCTTGGGCTAAGCAATAATTACTTCAGCAGTGAAAGCTGAGAAAAAGTCATTGTATTAAGATATTAGGCACTCACCCGGCTGATTAGTTTAAATACTGTGTTACCAGAATCTGATTCACAAAGTAACCCGTTAAAAAAAAAAAAAAGGAAGAAAGAAAAACGAAAAAAGAGGGGAAAGCGAAAGGAAAATACAGGAGGATTTCGTTGCTTAAGACCCATCAGAATTTCCTGCGTTTTTCTAAAATGTGAACACGAAGAAAACAAAATTAACAGGAGACGCTTCCAGGATTTTAAATCTCATGAATCCATGAAAATCCTGTTTATACCCATTCTGGGAAAATTGGCTTAGGGACACCGTCTCTCCTGCTACAGCTTCTGCATCTTTCTAACAATCATCCCGCTGACGGTCCCCTGAGGACACAGCAGCTTGGCGAGCGTCCCCAGACGAGACTTCTCCAACTGAATGCAGATTACTTGTGCAGGTGGAGAGAAAGAAAGTAATTCAGGCTCGGGCAATTCTTGAACTGCCGCTGCCCACATCCACAACCCCCTTCCAAGAGCACCACACCACGCCGGCACAATCGGGACCCTCTGAAGCGAAGCAAACTGGACCACCCCCCCTTCTCCTGCACTTAAGAGTGACCGCGCCTGCCCCGCGAGCGATGCCATCTTGGGACCTCAGCATCTTATAAGTAGTGGGTGAGTTTTGTATTCTGCTCACGTCTCCGTGTCTTTGCAAACTTAACCCAACTTTGCACGAAGAGGAGGAAGTACTGGGCGTACCCTTAATTTTCCCGAACGAACTGACAACATCAGATTCGATTTACAATAAACCGAAGACCTCGATCTCCTGGCCGCGCACCTGCCTGCACGCCGGGTTCCCGGCTCTCTGGGTGCCGAGTCAGAGCCCCATCGCTGCCCTCCGCCCAGAACCGGGACTCAGCCCTCCGCGAGGTTTGGGGGAGCTGGTCCCAGCGGGAGTGGGTGGGAAGGTGGAGGCACCCGAAAAACTTACATCCCAGGACGACCACCAGGTAGCGCAGCAGCAGCAGCAGCAGGCGGTGGCCGCTCCTCCTCGCCATCTTCTCGGGGGGCCAGTGGGCAGCTAGTCCGAGGCCGAGGGTCCCGGCGACGAGAGCGCAGAAGGCCAGGCCGGGGCCCCGAACTTGTGGGGCCGGAGAGGAGGAGAGATTCGCGCCGGCCGCGGAGGGGCGGGAGGGGCGGGGCGGCCCCTGCTGGGTGTCAGTTTCCCCCTGCCTGGGGCGCCGCGTCCGCTGGCCGCGAGGGGCGGGTCCGCCCTAGCCCTGGGCTGGGGGATCGGGCTGTGGGTTTTTGGTGAGGAGGAAAGGGGGAGAAGGGCTGGACGTGGGAGCCGGACGGGGTGTCGGGGCGTCCCAGTGAGGGCCAGAAAGATGCGACGGGCTTGGAAGGGAAGTTCTGGTCCGGCGCCCCGCTCCCCCTGCCGCCGGGATTGATCGGCTTTGTGTCTGGTCAGACTCGGGGCTGCCAGCTGTCCCCGGGGCGAGGAGAGGGAGTAGGGTGGGGGTGGGGGGACGGGTGC